TCCCCGCCGTCTCTGGGTGCCAGAATCGTGGCCGGAGACACAATAGTGCCAGCATGTGTTCGCTGCCTTCTTTGAATACGGTAAACTGAAAAATGCCTTTAGACCAAATAGAACCTCTTGACCCTTAAATCGTCTAAAACTACGCATTTGCTAGCCGTAACCGGGCATCATCTGATGAACTACTAGAGTAGTACATATATGGCGATATAAGCAGCACTTCTGAAAAAGCAATTGAACAAGCATTTGAATTTTTTGAGGGAATAAGCTCCGAACCTGAGGATAGAATAAACTGTAATCAAAATTTTATACTGCGAAACATTCCGAATCCCATATCTGCTATAATGGGATCGCATTTGCGCTTGAAAAGTTATGGCTTGGGTTTCAGTGTCGCATGAGCTAAACGCATGTGTTTACTCAGCCGTAATGCGCTGATACTAGTCACCCTTTCCTCCTTGGTAGAAGTCGGTTTCATCTTGCCAAAGAAGGAGATAAGTGGAGATTTCTGCCGTGAATAGCGTTGCCCAGTTTCGCCGGACCTCTAACCAATGCAACGATGATCGAACAAAGTGAAAATGTCGAAAACTCACACCGACATAAGGACACCTACTTTCTGTTTGAATAAGTATTCTTCAACATCATCTGCTGCTTTACCACGTCATGGCATAGTCAATTCCGTAGGAACTCGACTGCTCTCGATGATGAAACCTTTAAATGCAACAACGCACGGGGTATACAAACACACTTACCGACTCCACCAGCAACCCATTGCAAACCTAATCAAGCGCATAATTCAAAAGCGAGTTCGACTGTCGAGTCAGTTACTCGAACACCGAGTACCTTTCAGACATATTCTCCTCCACATCGCCTGTCATCGCCTGCCATCGCCTCAGACGCCACGGCCCCAAACATAGTGTGTTTCCAAACCCCTCCCCCCAAGACTTCATATTGAAGCGGTTAAGCCGAATACGACGACACTCCCGAATTTGAATAGAATCCCTGCCCCATTCGTAGCAGTGCGTCCCCCACTCCCCAACATATTTCCTCCACGGCCGTTTTACCAATGCATTCCTCATGCTAATGTCCATACAGTCAGTTAACTCACCCGTTCCTAGGTCTCGCTCTGGCGGGAGTACATTGCAGTATCCAGCCCGTGGATTTTCAGCAGCAAATTAACCAGCTAACAATAGTCAACAGTTTTCCTGCTCGTAATTTCGTCCCCCAGAGCCTACTCCTCTTTACTTTTGTCAGAATCTTTTGATGCCACAATGTTTTTTAGGACCGGACAGGTGCATCCGGACCGAATGTTCCGTGGGCAGCCAGTCACCACACGACGTACCCTATCTCCTTCAGAAACAAAAGGCCTTTCCCTTCAAGCTGTTTGTCCTAAACGTCAGATTCTTACTAAATAAGAATCTGGTGTTCATCCATTGCCCAGATATTCTTTTATTGACTGAGACGTGGGCAACAGCTTCCGTAGCTGACTCCGAACTCCCTCTTCTAGGCTATACTTGCATTAAAATGATCGTCAAGATAGCCGTGGTGGGGGCGGTTGCATCTACGCTAAGCAAGCACTTACTTTCCGTCGCTGGACCTCCCGCATTTTTCTGCGGTAGAAGGCAGCTGTTGGATCCTGGTTACACCAAAAAACATTCTCCTTACTCGTTGACTGTGCCTATCGCCCTCTCAACGCCAACGACAATTTTGATCGTTTACTCTCACAGGCATTTCATGCAGCGGCGGAATTAAGCTTTAAGGATCATTTGTTTGCTGGTGACTTTTATCTTCCTGAAGTCCGCTGGTCTCCGCCTTTCGGCCCCAAAACTTTCTTGAGGCTGTGGATTTTTGGATGTGGTTTTAGGTTGTTGATTTTCCCACTCGAGGATCAAGCATACTTGACCTTATTTTCTGTATAGGTTGCATACTTTTTTCAATATCATCCTTAGGCCCACTCGGGAGCTTAGACCATGCAATGGTTTTTTCAACATTAGAACTGGAGGCTGTCAAAATGTGCCTAAAGTATAACATTTTCCTTGATTCTTGATCAGCTCGCTCGACCAAATTATTAACACACCTTAATCCCTACGGTCGGACTGATTTCTTCCTAAGTCCGGAAGTACATGTCTGCACCACAAAACTGTACGAAATTTAAGATCTCCTTATTTCTCGTTTTGTCCCCCGTGAGAAAATAATTAATGACGGAGATGAGGTGTTCCTACCCTTACCCTTTCGTCGCGGTTTGCGCAGACTTTTCGTCTATTTCATCTTCATAAGGACGTTTCCGTTCCGCACTCGATTTGCGATATTTTGAGCAGGCTAAGAGATTGTCCGAAAAAAAAACAGCTAGCTGAGGAGATCCAGTTTACCGAAAACCGCTCGTTAAACGTCTGGAAACGTTTCTCCCGAAAAGTACGAACCCATGGAAAAACGCAGCAATCCACCCTTTGAGACGCCTTCGGGAATCCTATAGCTGCTGCCCAGTCGACCGCTGATAGTTCCAATGATCATGACATCGGGCTCGAGCTCATAAATTGCGACCTGTGCCAGTGGAACCGCAAATGGCGCCTTCCTCTTTCTTGGCATAAATGTTCAGTCATGGTGGTTGGCGGCGACCACCAACCTCAACTAGGTATTGACAGTCACAGCACAAATATGCCTGCAGATATTAAGGATCTGGAGGTATCATATTCCAAGAATCCTAATCATTGGGAGCACTGCGCCCTGATAGTCTCCAGGGCACGCAGAACGGTCGGGTTTATCCCCCGAAACTTTAAAAGCAGCGATATTAGAATGCCCTTTTATAACATATACGTTAGACCAGGCCTGGAATACTGTTCGGTCTTATTTAGCCTCATGCGTGCTACTGAGCGGGAAAAAAATAGAGCCCGTCCAAAAATTTTTTTTACCAAGAGAGTTTTAACCCTGGAACGCCGGAATTTGTCATACCAAGAACATTGCCGAATTATAGGCCTTGATCCTTTTGTGGTTTCGCAGATTACAGTAGAGACTACTTTGCCTATTTAAGCTTTTATATAATCGCACCTTTAACCCGACAGTTCTACCGTCGATTTCGACGATGTCCACCGTGTGCCCCACAGCTGCAGCAGCGGTGGGAGCAGGGACGGTGACTTACGCAGGAATTTATAGTGCCAGTAGACTTGTGCTGCATCTACCTACACTCTCCCCTCCTCCCTCGCTCGAGCCCGCTGTCAAGACAGAGTCAAGAAGATCGGAGACGAGGGAGGTTGCAGGTGGATGGCTCGGACGGATCCTCACCTTGGCGTTCCACCACACCCCCTGGTCCACATAACAAATAACCACGATTTTCACCAACACAAGAGAGATTTGGAGGCTGCTACGGCCGAAGCCGCACCTAGGCGTGCCGCCAACGCCTGGCTCGGATCCCACGCTGTGGTGGGAGTGTCATAAAGGCCACATTAAAAAGGAGCCATTGCAGCCTGACTCTCAGACTGCCTTCAGTCAAGGAGGAGGTCCAAGTTACCCCGTCAATTGGCAACCTTCCAAGCCACGGCTTTTAGCGCACCGGGATAGCCTCAAGCGCGTCAGATTGTTTATAGTGAGGAAAGTGCGCAGAGTCGTCGACCTCACTCTCCCTTCCCATCCCCACACCCCAGTCGCTGTCCGAGTCGGTCAGTAGACTGGAGTGGGGAATGGGCGCGGTGGCTGACATGGTCGACTGACCATGCCTGCGCGCGCCACAGCACGACCTGGCCCCTAAACACACACCAGGATTTCACACAACGGGGTTGAACGGCGTGTCTCTCGCTTGCGTGAGAGGGTCGTGGAAAGTGCTGTTTCAGCCCGTCCCCAGCCCACCAGTCCGCCACTCCACACAACACACACAACGCGACGAACTGCGTGAACCGAGAGCGGGCGTCAATCAGCAACCTTCCTATCCACGACGCTTGACGTGTCGGGATAGTCTCGGACTCAAGTCACCCCTGCAGCCGAAGCCGCATGGGACCGCGTCGAGATGCGCACTTCCCACTTGCGTGGAGGGTGGCAGTTGGGTGCATGCGGTGGGTGAGTGTTGATGTGTGGTGGGGGTGATGGTGGTGGAGGAGGTAGGGAGTGTGTGAGTGTGTGAGATAGCCAGCGGTAATCTACCGCAGGTCGTCGTGGATGAGCATGTGGCCGAATAGGCCCATGCGATGCATAGAGCTGCGAGGGCAGTGTGGGCAGTTGAGACGAGCTTGGTGGGTATAGGTTGGTGCTCCAGATACTGGTTCGCCAGTCTCTGTGCGATGGATTCGCAAGTGACCGACCAGGCCGATGCGTGAGGTGAATGTGCGTGGGCAGTGTGGGCACGAGAAGTCGGCGGTGCCGGTGTCAGCTGCAGAGGAGGCGGTGGTGGTGATGGTGATGGACGCGCATGACGATGGAGCGAGGGTGGGGCTGGGTATGGCGGGCGTGTTGGACGTGGTTGGTGTGTCGGAATTGGGGTCAATTCCGCTCTCGTGGATGCGCATGTGGCCGAATAGACCCATGCGATGCGTGAAGGTGCGAGGGCAGTGTGGGCAGTTGAGGCGAGTGCGGTGGGTGTAGGTTGGTGCTCCAGGCACTGGTTCGCCAGTCTCTCTGCGATGGATTTGCAAGTGACCGACCATGCCAATGTGTGAGGTGAAGGTGCGGTCGCAGTGTGGGCAGTTTTAGTCCTGATCCTTATCGCTGAAGTCGGGGAAGTGGGGGTGGTGTCGGATGCTTTGTCAGGGTTGGTGGTGTGGGAGATGGTCGCCTGAGCGGCCGTCGCTGGGGCAGTGGTGGTGGTGGTGGAGGAGGAGGAGGATGGAGGTGGTGGTGGCGGTTAAGAAGAATTGCCAGAGGTAGTTGGCGGCAGAGAGGACAATGAAGAGGCGGGTGGAGGGACGGCTGTTGATGCGGTCCGAGAGGTATAGTTGATCCAAAGATGTCCAACAAGTCCGATTTGAGCCCGGAATGTCCGTTGACATCGAGGACAGGTTGGTAGCGGTTGTGCGTCGGCGTTACGTACTGGGTGCAGTTGGGATTTGCGGGCTTCGCGATGCGGCAGCGATGCGGTTGGCTTCGTGGATAGCAGCGCCCGTCTTCACTGTTCTCCTCCATGTCGGACGATCGCGGGCGAGGTCTTCCCAGTTGGTCGGGTTGATTTGCAGGCGCTTCAGGGAGGACTTCAGAGTATCCTTGTAACGGCGAATTTGGCCTCCTTGACGACGAGAACCCGTCGCGACGTCTCCGTAGAAGAGTCGTTTGGGTAGTCGCTCGTCGTCCATGCACACCAGGTGGCCGCTCCAGCGCAGCTGCATTTGTCTCAGTATGGCGTAGATGCTGAGGATTCCCGTTCGTTCCAGTACTTTCGTGTCGGGGATTCGATCATGCCAGTTCAGCCTCAGGATGCGACGGAGACAACTGAGGTGGAAATGGTTCAGTCGGAGAGGGTACTGCAATTGGATCCCATTCACGCTCATTTGCGGCGGCGCGTTGGGGATTGTGACTGAGTGGGGTGGCGGTTGATGCATCACCACCGTCTTCTGCGTGTTGATGGCTAGACCGAAATTCTCGCAGGCGGCGGAGAACAGGTCCATGCTCCGTTGCATCTCCTCTTCCGAGGTGGTGTTCAGGGCGCAATCGTCGGCGAAAAGAAGTTAGTGAACGGTGGTTGTGGATACGCGCGATTGGAAGAGAATCCGTCGTTGATTCAGAAGGTGACCGTCCGTCCTGTAGGCGATGCGGATCCGCGGGTTCTCATCACGATAGGCGTCCATCAGCATGGCAGAGAACATAAGACTGAAGAGGGTGGGCGCCAGCACGCATCCCTGCTTCACTCCGTTGGTCACTGCGAATGCTTATGAGACAGCACCGTTGTCCATGGCTCGCGCCATCATACCGTCGTGCAGCTGATGCACCATCTGAGTGAATCGCTCCGGACAGCCGAATTTCTGCATGATCTTCCGCAGTCTTTCACGATTCACCGTGTCTAAGGCTTTCGTCAGGTCCACGAAGGTAGAGTACAGGTGGGTCCGCATCTCCTGACACTTCTCCTGAAGTTGACGGGCGGCGAAGATCATATCCGTGATCCCACGATGACGACGGAGGCCTCATTGGCTTTCCGGCAGAAGGCCCTGTTCGAGATGGATATTGAGGCGGTTGAGAAGGATGCTAACGAAGATCTTCCTGGCGATGTTCAGCAAGGAGATTCCACGGTGATTGTCGCAGACTTGGCGGTTCCCTTTTCGCTTGTATAGGTGCACGATTGTTGCGTCTTTGAAATCTTGCGGGACTTCACCTTGATGCCATATCTCCTGGAAGAGCGCAGTCAGGTGATCCATGAGTTGTGGACCTCCGTGATTGTAGACCTCAGCAGGGATTGCGTCCGATCCGGGTGCCTTTCCGCTGGAGAGCTGCTGCACGGCCCTGATGGTCTCCTGGAGAGATGGCGGGAGGTCGAGGTCCACGTTGGTCTCCACTTGCGGCAAACGGTCGATGGCGGCGTCGGAGATGACGGA